AGCAGCTCGAGTTCAAACCCTACAAAGCATAGCTCGCCTCGATACGTTGGTCGAACTATGGAATAACCGACCAATGCTTAGTTCGGACATACGTAATAATCACTTCGCGATATACCACAGAGGCCTTAAACGTGACAAATCGGGATAACGCCTACCGAAGAGCCCTACTCCGGGTATGTAACTTTAATAGCTCAAATGATGAGATCGCTTTAGCAAAAATAAAGGGAGTTCATCATACTCAGAAGAAGGAAGAAATTTTCATTGTCAAAAAAAAAAAAGAGAAGAAAGAGCAGAAAAGGAATATAACAAGTGTAGTAACCGAGCTAAACAGCTTGGGAAAGGTTTGATCATCACAAGGCACAACCGCCCAACTGAAAACTTGTGAAAGACCGGGTTTACGGCACCCATAAGCCACAGAAGCCCAGAGAAACGCCACCTCAAGGATCCGCCTCCTCATCCTCTAGAAAGTCAGGCTCCTCTTCATCCGCCTGGTCTGCTGTCTCAGGGGACAGACCTTCCATAGTAATGCTGTCGAGGTTGAGCCCGAAGAACTTCTTCCGAACCAACCACCGGCAAAGCTTAAACCCTGAGCGATACGAACCCGAACCATACTCCGCTTGGAGGTCATGAAATTCCTGGAGTCTTTAAAATCCCAAACCGCTTTCTCTCGCTCAGCTTCCACCATCTGATCAAAGTTTTGGGTCTGATTCAGAAGAGTGGACTCCAAGTCCCACACCTGCTGCCTGAGGAGCTCCCTCTCCCCCGCCATCCTCGACAATTCCTCCCTATAACGTGCGCTCACTTCAGTAAGCCGAGCGATTTGAGCCTCCTGGTCGTGGACGAGCAGCTCCTAAGATTCGCTCCCCTTGTGAGTGTGATGGAGCTCGCCCCGGATCCGGTCGAGCTCGACTTAGAGCTTCTGGTTGGCAGCCCGTTGGTCGAGGGCGTCGACGCGATGGATGCACATCTAGAGAGCCATGGCATGGATGGCGGAATTTACCTATCGACGAAAAGGAAGATCAGAAAACAGCGGAAAAGGGGCAAAACAAGAGAGAAAAAGGGAAAAAGGCCACTTACCACCATGCAATGGGCAGAGGCGAACACGGAGAGATCCCCATGCTCCATGTTTCCCCACTCAGCGATCTCATGATTATTGATTGCCTTCCGACTCCTCCGGCGAGCTACCAGATAATCATTTACCCCTTCCCAGTTTCCCACTGGGAACCAGGGTTAAGGACGAGGCTGAAGGGGGTTAAAGGGGGCCTCCCCCAACTGAGGGAGCTCGTTTCCCCCAGGGTTAATCCCACTAGTCCCCTCAGGAGGGGGCATTGGAACCTCGGGCGGAGGAGAGGGTAGGACTGGCTCGCCAGACCCGAACTCAGTGCTTCCCGAAGGAGGGGTCCAGTCGGGGTGCGTCCTCTTCACCTGGCGTCTCTGGCTGCCCGAGAGAAGGCGGCGCGAGTCGACACTAGACATGATGGCTGCCACAAGACCACAAGATATTAGTCCAACAAGAAACAAAATACATGTGTACACAATAGTCACAAGGCACTACGCGACCTAACCAGGCTCAAACCTGCCTGCACGAGCTTCTCCTCGGCCAAGTAGTTCGAGCAAAGGAAGTCTACTGATGCCCAGGACAACATCGTTTTCCGAATCTCAAGGTCCAGCTCGGCCCCGGGGTCCTGGGTGGCACCCCTCCAAGCAGTGGGAAAGGGCCACCCCTTGGGGTTACGGACCACAAAGTAGTCCCGCTTCCAGGTGGGAATCCTATTCGGAAGCTCGTACAAGAGCTTGTAGCCGCGACGGGGAGAGAGGTAATAAAAGCGCCTCTCCGGAGGAACTACAGGAGCATCGTTCTTTATACAAAGGATAGAGACACAAATGTCAAGGTCCAAAGGAAGGCAGTACTCATGACACAGGGATATAGTCCCAACCATGTTTCGAACAGCGTTGGGATGAAGCTGGTCAATAGTGACGTTGAAGTGATTTAGCACCTCCACTATCAAAGGGTGCAGGGGGAGACGCAAGCCAGCCTCAAGCTATTCCTGAAAGATTACTATGTCATTGGAACCATTCTCCCAGGGGAAGTTGCCAATCAGGAGGTTGTAAACTAGGTCCCCAGGGAGGAGAAAGTAGTGGATCAGAGACTTGAGTCTCTCCGCTATCATTAAGGAAGGGCCAAAGGTATCAGGCTCACTCCCCCTAGAAGTAGACGCCATGTCGCCGGATACCTCCCGAGCCTCCGGGATCTGCTCTCAGGCTCCTCCTGAGCTCGAGGGAGCATCATCATCCTGGCTATCACCCCTGTGATAGGTATGGCGTGGGTACCCAGACATGGCTGACGGCGATTGGGACTCACCAAAGTAGACGGAATGGAGCAGACTGAGGAACTCAAGTAGACTAGGCGAAGTACACGACCTCAGAATCCAAAGACAGCAAGATGGCGTGGAAGAAGATAGGGCCCGAGAGGGGCCCATAGTCCCCATCCTTTCAAACTGACGGCCCGGATCAAAGCAGATCCAATGGTCCGCAGGCGCCCTGACTACACGCCTTCTGAAAACCGAAGGCGATTGGCGGCACATTCCACGATTAAGGTAGTCGTAGCCGCACGACGTTCGGAATTAAAGGCCACCTCAGCACGTTTTCGGAATCTGAAAAGTCAGAGAAGTCAGAAGATCTCTTGATTCCCGCAAATGCATTTAATGGGGATAGTCAATCAAGTTTGAATTTCGGTCAAATCAGTCCATCGCGCTTCATAAACTCCCCGCGCTAAGGCGATACTCTTAGCCCGAGGAGTGGGGGGCAATTGATGAAGGATGATTTTACCCGACCTATGAAACGGCGACACGTGGACACTGACTCAGCGTAAGCGACAGCTCAGCATTGCGGCCCAGTACAACTAAGTAATGGGCCCATAAAGCAGCTCGCTACATCGTAGCGAGCTAAAGGAGGAGCTCGCCACAACGCGAGCTCTGGGTGCCCCGAGCTACCTCTAAAGGGATATTCCGAGGCAACTTTAACTTGCGAGCTAAGAAAACCAGCTCACCCGAGCTCCCAAACAGACAAGTCATGCCAAAGACCAATTCTACTAAGGGTACTCCTGAAGTATACCAAGCTCGCTGCAAAGTAGCTCGTGAATGGGTCGCACAGGCATTCCTCAGGAAGCTTCTATTTAACAAGCCGTACCAGTCAAACTGCGCCACGTCCCTAACTGATGGCGCAGTCCCTGTCCTTTCGACAGTTTGCGCCCATGTCTCTCAGTAGGCGGAGGCGTGTCTGTTATTTTGGAGACGTGTCACTCACCCGGGCAAGGAGTACATCGCAACGGCCACCTGTGCAGCCCTGACAGGTAACGGCTGTGGTAGGGGCCCGGTGGCGGTTATGCCCGATCTCACAAGAGCGCCCCTATAAAAGCCCTTAGGGCAAAGGAGAAACTTCTTCTAGAAAAACAACCCCTAATCTCTCGAATATAGTTATAAAGCGCGACCTCCACTCTTAGCCTTGGTCTTTCTCTTTACTTCCCGTACACAATACTAAGTTAAGCATCGGAGTATTCCCACCGGGTAAATCCCCGGGAATCCTTCCTTTCATCTTCTCAGGTGCCGCACGTTGCCAACAAGGAGTCAGTCAGCAGTCAGCTAGGAGTGCTCGGATCGTACTACATCAGTAACCGAAAGTCTAAAATATCCTCATTATTAAAAATATTCTCAATACTTTTAATAATGGCATATTATATCCCTATTTAAACCCGATAGAAGCCCATTCGATTTGTTGCCATCGAACGAGAAGGGAGATAGCAATGGAGAACTCGAAGAAGCCCTATGATGGAGAACTCACCAAAAAGAAAATCATCTCTCAAATCCCATTCTTCTCTCACTCTCTCTCTTTCCATCTCTTCTCCACTCACAACCACTATTGTCATCTCCGCCCCATTCTTTGCTTCTACAACTAATGTAAAACAAAACATTGTTGCAACTAATGTAAAATTAGTTATTAATTATTTTAATTTTTATTAGTTATTAAATATTTTAATAGTTTTTAAGATATTAATTTTCTAATTATTAAATATTTTTTAATTGCTTCATAGACTTTATTACTATTTTTATTATTATTTTAATTGTTAATAATTTATTTTTAATTCATAAATTTATACGTACTATCCAATTTTATTCTTATTTTAATAAGTTAGTTTTTATTTTTTATAAATTTTATTTGTATTAATTATTAATTATTTTAATATTTGATAATTATTAGATATTTTACTAGTTTTAATATATTAATTTTCTAATTATTAAATATTTTTCCATTGCTTCATGGAATTTATTATTATTTTCATTATTGTTTTAACCTTTAATTATTTATTTTTAATTTATAAATTTATATGTATTTTTCAATTTTATTCTTATTTTAATAAATCTGTTTTTTCTACTTTTTAGAATTTATTCATATTTTTAATATTATTTTTTTAATTTAATAATTTATATTTTATGAAATAGTGCAAATTAAACTCAAAATTATCAAATAGTTTGTTTTAGGGATAAAATAGTAAAATCAGATAATTTCAAATACCAAAGGTTTGATACAAAACAAACAACCTTATCTATTTAGATCCTTGTAAAGTAAAAAAACATTTATGCTTCTTTTCAAATTTTCAGACACTTTTAATATCGTTTTCAACTTTTCAATTTCAGATTTATCAAACCCCACCTTAGTCTCAAAAATTTAAATCAAACAAGTAACTTTGGTAAAATATAACATTCTTTTTTATTGTAAGTGGTAAGTTTGATTATACTAGCTAGTATTCATAGTTCTAACTAATTATTGGATATCAATCCTAGCCTTTGAATGAAAATCAGTTGCGGTTGGTTAGTTGGTATACCAAAGAACTCGTTAGGAAGTAGGAGAAGTTGGCCATCAATGCAATCTATTAATCACTGCATTTGTCGTCTTCACAGTTTACACCTCTTCTCCGCCGTATATAAACAGCAGCTCCTCTCTTTCTCCTTCCAATCAATCCAAGCTCTCCACCTTAAGATCTCCTTTAACACATTTCGATCGAGCACCATCAATGGCACCTGGAAGGACAGTGATGGGTCTGGTAGCAATGCTTCTGGCCATGCTCTGCGCAGGAGCAGCAGCCCAATCCTCCAGTTGCACAAGTGTGATCGTTAGCATGTCACCTTGCCTCAACTACATTACTGGAAATTCATCCACTCCGTCTTCCTCGTGCTGCTCCCAGCTTGCCACCGTTGTCCAGTCTATGCCACGGTGCCTCTGCGAGGTCCTCAATGGTGGTGGTGTGCCATCTCTGGGGATTTCCATCAACCAGACTCGGGCTCTGACTCTGCCCAATGCTTGCAATATCCAAACTCCCCCTGTTAGCCAGTGCAATGGTAAGAAGCCAGACCCATCTGCATTCACTCAGAATATTGCTATCGTATCTTGGAAATCCTTCTTATTTCATCCACTAAAGTTTCTCTTTATAGAAATTTTCTGATCTTCCCTCTGTTCTGTTCCTTGGTAGCACTTTCCCCTGCAGCATCTCCAGCAGGAACACCGGAGACCTCTCCGGCAGGGCCTTCAGGAGCACCAGATACCGAGACTACACCAGAAGTTCCAGCTGGGGCACCAGATTCCAAGTCTACACCAGCAGTGCCAAGCGTTCCTGCAGGTATAAGATTTTTATTTCTTATCTTTGGGTTGGGTCTTCTAGAATTTCATACTAACTGTAGGCTTAAAATGGTGTAGGAGGCGGATCAAAGACTGTTCCAACGACAGGGGCAAACACATCTGACGGAAGCTCCAACAAATTGACCTTCTCTCTCCTCCTCCTCATCACTGCATCTTATGCTTCATCCTTCATTGGTTTTTGATTTCTCCTCAAATATGAGGTGCCCAATATCGTCACATTCCTTTTCTCCTTTTCTCTTTGAATTTGTTGTGTGGCACTGTTATACATTTTTGTAGACCAGTCCTGGATTGTTTGGATTTTGTATCAGTGGAAAGAATCAGTATTTTGTATTCTTGGTGGATTTGCTTTGTGTTAAATATAAGATCTTACAACCTTTCACAATCTTACTTTTATAATATTACAACATAAATTTCTAATATATATTCTAACAAAAGAATGAGAAAATACTCTTTGGTTCGCAAAGAAGAGAGCTCCGGATATCTCATGCAGAGAACTGGAACTAATTGAATAATGGACATGATCTGAGTTTATCTCTTTATGATCATAATGAGATTATGATCTAGGTTTGTCTCTCGTGAGGTGCTGCTGCAGCTTCTTCCCCGTCGAGAGAGAGATGTCCCTTCTTTATGCACATCCATATACATAGCCAGACACAAAGGTGTACAATCCGGTCAAAATCTTCGGTTCTTTTAAGTTCTTCACTGTATGTGCAGCTCAAGAGAAGAAAAGGAATACTGAATTACTGATCACGAGAAAAGATTTGGATCAGGGAGAACAGGACTGGTAACAGACTAACAAATCTGGGCTCCATAACTTGATCAACTTGCCATCTTTCCTATGGATGTTCAGAAACCCACCATTTGGTGAATCCCATCTTGATGATTGATTGGACCAACATTCAGCTTAAAATATTATAAAAAAGTGTGGGTTTTCATTTTTTCAAAGGAAATTATTGGGATGGGTTGGCAATCAAATTTTCTATTTAAAAAAAAATAATACTTTATGAGAACTATGAAAATGGTGTATGAGAATCAGACAGTCTAGAAATATCTTTTTTTTTTCTTTTTTTTTTTTTGCTACAAGGTTTACAAGACGTGCCTCTCTTAGCTGACACCAAATCAGCCCCCTACAAAATTGCCCCCCCCCCCAACGTCTCACACCACATTTCCGTCGTGTATTAGGAACATCTCTTAATGATAATTCCAAAAATAATGATGTCATCATCGGGAGATGTTCTCAATACATAACGGGGATCTGCTGTGGAACGTTGTGGGGGGCTGATTTGAACTCCTCTTAGCTAGGTGGGATCCATTCAATGATGGGTGGTCTTGATCTTCTGATATTTACCACCTGGCAAGTTATGTGGGTTCCAAGATGCAATTACACCACTCCTGTCCTGCCAAACCTCTGATCAAAACCCAACCGTGTAAGAGCTAATTCAATGGAGTCCGCGTCAATCACATTTAGCCATGTCGGTTGAGCACGTTCTGTGTAACGGTAACGTGGGTTTGGCCATCAATTGACTGCATCCGATAGGATACAAGAAGATAAAATTATTCATTTTCATTTCACACGAGTTCGATCTCCCCCTCCCTATACTCATTTCAAACCTTAGCACCTCCAACAGTCGCAGCTCACTCATGGCGCCTTCACTCCACATCGGCGCCCCCGTGAACGATGAAGCCACCGGTGGTGAGAGACAAATCGTCTAGAGGTACTCTCCACTGCTGTAGCCACCGTCTGTTGCTTGCGTGTGCTGGGTTGTGCTTCTTTTCCCCAGCTTCCCTATCTTGGAGGCACTTCCGCCACCACAAGAGACTGAACACATAGCTGCAAAAACATAAGGTCGCAAGACAAGCTCCGGCTACTGTAACAACAACCAGCAGAAGCCGGATAGTGGAAGAAAAAAAGGCTTCCACCTTTCAGTTTTTAGCATCAAGTTCGTAACCACCCGACTGAGAAAAATGAAGAAAAAAACAAACTCAGAACCCAAAGGTTTTTATAGTTCTTTTGAGTTTTGTGAAGAAGAAGAAAAATCCGCCTCTTATTCCATTTAAGATCAAGTTCAGAGGTGCCTTTCAAGCCCGTTCTTGATGATATTAAGTGTTGGAGTTAAGAATTCCACTCCAGTTCAGATTTGGTGATTCTTCTTCCTTTTTTTATTTCTCAGTTCAGATTTACAACAACTTGGTGAGATCTAAACTTCTGTTTGTATCGTATTCACCTTGCATTTGGTGATATTAATGCTGTTCTTGTGAGTCAAGGATTAGTTCATTGATATTTGTAAGCCTCTAGTTATAACTAGAAAAGACTTATGTACCCATTAATTTTTTAATTAGTGGAAGACTTTTACGGACCATAGGTCCTGTGGTTTTTCCCCGATTTTGGGGTTTTTAGGTAAAAATTCTGGTGTATTGTTGTGTGGTGATTGTTATCTGTTTTTCTGTTACTTGGCTGAATTGTTTATTTGTTATTATTGTTGTTGGCAAACCCATTTTGACACACAAATTTGGGGAAAAGGTTCTTATTGTCCTAGGATTGGTTTTACATTCATTTCTACTACTATAGTGTAACTTTCCCATCACTTTCTCCTCTTCTTGTTGTTGGATACATTCTCACATTTTACATCCAATTGCTTTCCGTGTAGATTTCTATTCATTGCAAATGCAAAAGGGTCATTGAACCGGAACCCAACACCTCTCTCTCTCTCTCTCTCTCTCTCTCTCTCTCTCTCTCTCTCTAGGTTGTTCCTTGACACGTTGAAGTATTTTAAACCAGAGAGGCGAGTCAAATTTGTTGGGATCATCCCAGTCAAGTGGTTCACGGAGAGGTTTAGCATGGTTAGATAGTGAGTCCGGTATGGAACCCACCAGCTGATTTTCATCTAATAACAGAGAAGTTAGAGAAGAGCATTTGGGTATTTCCTTCGATATTTCACCCGAGAAATTGTTCGGCCCCAAGTCAATCTCCTCCAAGTGAGAGAGATGAGAAAGATGAATTGGAATTTGGCCACTCAAACGATTTGAACAAAACTGAAGGATTTCCAGATCAGAGCAGTTGCTAAGTTACACTAGAATCGCGCCTAAAATGTGATTGTTTGATAAGGAGAGAATAAGCAATGCTTTGAGGAAGCCATATGTTGTTGGAATCCCCCCATAAAAAGCATTTGATGTGAAGTTCAAATACCTTAAATCCAATAAGCTATTGAAACCTTTCGATGCATCTCTAGATAATACATTGTCTTGCAGTGCAATTATTTATAGATTTTGCAAACCTGAAAGCTTGAGCGGCAACTCACCAAAGAGGTTCTATCGACTCAAATCTAGAGTCCTAAGATCCAACAGACTTCCATCCAATGCTAGAAGGTATCCTTTTTGAGAAACCTTCGTAAGTTGCCTATACTCAAAGGAATTTCACTATTAAATATGTTGCCACTGAGATTCAAAGTAGTCAAATTGCTCAATTGCATTAGCTCTGTCGGCACACTGCCAGTCAGATTGTTTTGCCTTACATTCAGTATTTTCAATTCATACAAATTAGAGAAAGAGTTCGGAATCTGGCCAGAGAAGAAATTTCTTCCAAAAGATAACATCTTCAGATCCCTTAGCTCTCCTATAAACGAAGGAACTTCATCGAAAAAACGATTCCCTTCTAGATCATCTCCACCAGAACAGAACCATTAAGGTTATGTTTGGTTTGAAGGAAAAGGTAGAGAAAGGAAAGGAAATGTAGGGAAACCTTTACAAAGGGAAATGTAGAGAATTGTAAAAATTTTTTTTTTACATTTCCCTTCCTTTCTCTACCTTTTCCTTCAAACCAAACATAGCTTAAATGAATTGTTTGCTGGAATGCCAGATTTCTTGTGGTTGTTCTATAGTCAAGGACCCCGTTGTGTGGTGAGTGGCCAACGAGATGCTCGAGTTAGGGCTCGGAGGAGATGAAGACAAGAGATAGGAAGGGGAGAGTTCAAATGATTAAACTTTAAAAGAAGCCCTGCTTTTTGAGTTTTCTCTTTTTGCGGGTGATTGATTCAGGTTTATTCAACCAAGGGCTAAACACCTGTTAAAGTTTGTGTTTTTTCGAAATGTCAACGTAGTCGCTTGTGATTGGCGGATTCACACATCCAATGCATCCACGGGTGCAGATTCAATTTACTGCCTGCACAGATTATTTATTCAAGGTTTTCGCTGTTTAGCTTAGTGAATTTGTATGTTGAAAACACATTGTAATCACAACGGATCCGTGGCGCAATGGTAGCGCGTCTGACTCCAGATCAGAAGGTTGCGTGTTCGATTCACGTCGGGTTCAATTCCAAAACCTTGTTTCTTTGCCAAAAACTGTTTTACTTATTACGACATGGTTTTTTTTCTTGCCTTGCCTTTGTATAAGTAGTTTCGAAAAATAAAGGATCTCGTGAGAAAGTGTAGGAAGAATTAAATTAAGTCTTCAAGTCAACCTGTAAAAAAGAGATATAAAACGGGATATGGATTAGAAATACCTGGACACGAAGAAATGGGCCGTTATGTGGTCCAGCTTCTTACATGGGTTTGGGCCTCAGGGGGCACAGTATTCATATTGCAATCTGGAGCCCAATAGCTTGTAATGACTTTCAACTTTCAAGTTTAGAGGGGCGGGATTATCCTACTTACCCATTAAAAAAATAAAACCGATCCTAACTGCATATTTATCTACAAGAATCCACTACAAGATAAAGGGAAATTAAGGAAATGTTTGGCATGGATGCCGATATTTTAAGAATCGGTGCCACATTGGATCCACATCAGCATTTTAAGAATGAGTGATTCTTTTTTTTCTATTTAGTTGGCCGATTATGTTAAATTTCTGGGAAACCGGTAGAAAATCTATGGATCACCACTTTTGGTGAATCCCTGGTTTTCAGGCAATTCTGATTTTTGTGGGGTGGCGTAACATCCTATGTGTCAAGGGTGATTTCTCAAAAAGTAATGGTAGTTTAAATTACACTTTCACCCCTCATAATTAGAGAGGGACTATATTCATAAGTAGGGGTACTTTAATGAATAAGAAAAATTTCACACCCTTAGTAGTAGTAAGTATAGATCATCTCGGAAAGATGGGATGGTTAAAATTCATCTTATGATGCTAATTTTGGTGACCTCTTGTGTTGGATGAACCAGTTCAGTGGCCAGTATGATTCCTCCATCCTCGTACACAAAACTCTCCATCAATGAGGATGTTTTAAGGGCCTTTTGATAACCGCTGAAGATGCTGAACTGAAAAGTTCAATGTTTTGTCTTTTAGTGAATAAGATATTATGGATAATATGATCAGTGAGCTTCTTCATGGCAGAAATTGAAGTTGGGTGGACCATTATATCATTAAAAATTTTATTATTCAATTATTTTAGGGAAAATCTATATAGGAAAGACATGGTACCAGAAAAGCTTTGATCAATCAAAACCTATCTGTGAATTTTGATAAATACCACCTGATTGGTTAAGATGTTTATGGTAGATTGGTTATTATTCAATTTTTGGATATAATGTCTTTCCGGTATCACAAACAAATAGGTTTTTCAGTTTAGAAACTTCAAGGACCCCCCCTCCCCCCCATTTTTTGTCCCCAACTTTCACGGCGGTCAATTGCCAGGCTTGGCCTCATAACATTAGAAAATTCGGAAAATATGAGCATTTCTATATTGTCAACTGACACTTCTAAATTCCCAAAATGGATATCTCCATATCTCCCACTGTAAGCGTAATATAAATATAAGCTATGGTTGGTATACCAAAAAGACCGTTAGAAAGTAGGAAAAGTTGGGCGACCAATGAAACCATTTTTTATAGGCAGACGTCGACCCATGAATTGAAACCCACTGCCCACTGCATCCGTCTCTTCTTCACGTATCTCCTCCATGGYTTCAATATATACCCATCTCTACTCTTCTTCTTCCCAATTAACTCAAATCCAATCAAAGCTCTCTGCTCTACATATCTCCTCTCCCTTAGTTCTTTTAACACATTTACCAACACTTGCAAATGGCAGGTAGAGAGATGGGGATGGTTCTGGTAGCTGTCCTTGTGGCCATGCTCTGGGCAGGAGCAGTGGCCCAATCCTCAAGCTGCACTAGTGTGATTGTTAGCATGTCACCATGCCTGAACTACATTACAGGGAATTCATCAACCCCATCTTCCTCTTGCTGCTCTCAGCTTGCCAGTGTTGTCAAATCTACTCCCCGATGCCTGTGCGAGGTCCTTAATGGTGGTGCCTCATCACTGGGGATTGAAATTAACCAAACTCAGGCTTTAACTCTCCCCAATGCTTGCAATGTCCAAACTCCCCCTGTCAGCGAGTGCAACAGTAAGTGATCCACCCCCCATAAAATTCTCTTCCACTGCAATTCAGATGGCTTAGAATCAACCCACCAATCATATTCTTTCTTTAACATGGAAAAACATATAATAATATCAAGTATTGATCTTGGTCAAATTTCTGATCGTCTGTCTTCCGTAACTTTCAGCTGTTTCCCCAACAGCATCTCCAGCTGGGGCGCCAGACACAAAGACTACACCAGCCGCACCGGCAGCAAAGCCAGAATCCAAGGCCACGCCAGCTGTGCCAAGCATTCCATCAGGTATATGATACTGTAATCGCTTACTTATTTCAAAACTTTATCTGATTCGATCCTTCATTATTGTTTCAACTTAATATTAATTTAAGTGTTGGCATGGTGCAGGAGGCGGATCTAAGACAGGTCCATCGACTACTGGGAGCACATCAGACGGCAGTTCCATCAAATTGACTTCTTATATGCTCTTCATCCTTCTCTTCACTGCATCATATGCTTTCGCCAGTTTTTGAGTTCTCTTCAACTATTCAGTCTCCCTTTTTCCCAAAAAAAAAAAAATACACTGTTCAGTCTCTAGCAGCCAAATTCTCTGTTTCCTAGCCAGTGTGTTTCTCTAGTATATTATATATGTTGTTTCTTTGTAAACCTGTCTAGGGGGTTTGTTGGGTTTCTCATTAAATAAAGAGACGTGTGGGTCTGAGCTTTGTATTGATGAAGTGGATTCATGTTCTTCTTTCTGTAAATTAATTATAAGAATCTGAATGATCCATTTCTTATGAATAATTATTGGGAAATGATATTGAGAATGGCATGGTTTTACTGTTAGTGGGTATGATAGTTTCTTCTCTTAATGGTCATGCTTTGCATTGACTATTAGAAATTAAAAACCAAATAAGGCCCTAACATCTTATAGCATACAAGTACTGGTGTACTCACTGAATTTTAGATTTTAAATAGCTAGATCATAAAACTTCATATTCATTAAATGAATATTTATTTTAAAAAAAAAAAGGAAAAAAAAAACTTGCTCTTGCAATACTTCTCTCAATGATCTCATGATTCAAAAATTTATTGAGGATCCATCTGAAGAAGAAAAAAACAACATAGGTGATACAATTTTTCAAATTGGTGGCACCTAAACCCAGATGAAGAAAAACCATGCATCATAATCATCTAGTTTTTCCAGATAGAGGATTGCAAGTTTGGATGGTTGCCTTGTCCACATTAGTGCAATTCTTCCCATGTGAAGACAGTGACTGAACATTTTGAAAGGTTTATTTGAGAAATAGTGATTGAATTATCAAGGAAGTAGATCTGAATCCAGTGAACAATGTTATAACTGTTAGTATGTGAGATCTTATATAATGTAGGAGATGGTTGTTTGCAAGACAATCGAGGGGTTTATTAGAACAGATCCTGGAAGACAAGGAATCTTTGCACATGATGGGACATAACTCATTAGGACTTAATTTGCTAGGGCCTTAGACTCTTCAATTCATGGGGCAAGTTTCAACCAAACAGTCCAGTGAAAGCCAATTCAGCATTTCTTTCTAAATAACAAAAGATGGAGCTTCAAAAGGGACTCTTTGCCATTCATGGTGGGTACAGAGCTAAGTTTGCAAGGGTAACTGGGTAACTGAGGCATGCGGATCCAATGTATCCACTTTGGGCCCTAAAAAGAATGGGCCCGGCCTAACCAACTTAAACCTCGGGCCATGGAGGACCTTACTTTGGGCTGTGGCAGGACTACATTCAAGGGGATCCGGCTGAAGCTGCAGTCTCATCTGCTGCTGCTGCTGCTGAAGCTAAGGTTCAGTTTGGAAGGAGCACAAATAAAAATATGTACAGTGCAAATACATACAAAATAATATAAAATATAAGGTTTTGCACTCTACATATTTGTATTTGTACTCGTTCCAAACTGAACCTAAAGTGAAGTTTCAGTTGCAAAACAGACTAGCTAGGGTGGAAAGTCTTTGTCCATTAAATAAACCAAAGTAGGCATGTTCTGGTATTCTAGTGTTCTAGTAACATATCTGGCTCCCTGTCATAGGATTTCTCTAAGAACATTACCACAGAGAGAGAGAGAGAGAGAGGACTTCACCGAGGTGATGAGCATCTTGACCATTTAACAGTACTTGAGTTGGCTTGGATTGACTTGGTTCAATTAAAAATGTCATAAGGCTCTTTCTACTTCAATCTTGCTTAACAAGACCGTGGATCGCATGGGTCCCCGACTAGTACAGTGTATAACAAAATAACAAAATAAAAATATTAAGATATGATAGAGGTTATATGTTCATTGACTCTCTCTCTCTCTTATCTTTATAATCCAGCTATCACAGATCAGCACCCTGCCTCAGAAACGTTTTCCTTCCCAAATCATCAACAACTTTTAACTAATTGTAACGGATAACGTAGTTATCCGAAGCTTGGGATCAAGAGGTTAGCACCACCTGAAGATCAGGATTAGATCCATTGTGTAACCACTCCTGTTATCTCTGTTATCCTTATCACGGCATCATGCTTATCTCTCTGTTGTACTTATCTATACATTCAATATATAATTGATCTCACGGGTATCCAATATTGATTGCATTGGAACCCTTTACTCCATATCCTTTTCCTCAATTCGTTCACTAATTAACTATATTCCAATAAAAATATAGCTTCAACTCCGCTTTAAATATCTATTAACTATGCATAGTTCCAACTGTCTGAAGTTTGATGAGGTTTGGTTGTTACACCAAAAAAACCGTTCACAAGTAGGAAAAGTTGTCCACCAACGGCAACGCTGGCATTGGGTTTGTCTGTTCTTCATGATTATCCCTATATAAACCATAACTCCTCTCTTCTTCTGCAACCCAGATCCGATCAAATTCTCTGGCCTCCCATCTCCTCAGTTCAAACATATCCAGTGCTTTCAAATGGCACCCAGAGGGACGGAGTTGGCTCTTGTGGCTATCCTCGTTACAATGCTCTGGGCAAGAGCTGCGGCGCAATCCTCAAGTTGCACAAATGTGATAATCAGCATGTCATCTTGCTTGAATTACATTACAGGGAACTCTTCAACCCCATCTTCCTCTTGCTGCTCAGAGCTTGCCAGTGTTGTCAAATCACAGCCACAGTGCCTATGCCAGGTTCTTAACGGAGGTGCATCTTCACTGGGTATCGAAATTAACCAAACTCGGTCTTTGGCTATGCCAAAAGCTTGCAATGTCCAAACTCCGCCAGCCAGCCTGTGTAATGGTAAGAAGATGCCATAGAATTTTTGCTTCTAAGTGATTAATTCATGAATCTCCAACAACTCTGCAACTAAGTTTGCCCAAGTTGTTGAACTTGATCAAACATATCTCTGTTATGAACGAAATTCTGAATTCTGATCCTCTCAACTTGTCTAATCTGTGGTTGTGTAGCTATTTCGCCAGCAGGAACACTGCCAGCAAACAAGACCACACCATCAACACCAAGCACTCCTTCAGGTATATGGTGGTGGTATTTATCTTTTGCTCAAACAGATCAAATTTTTTTTAATGTATTCATTCAAACCTTTTTTTTTTAATTTGATTATTGGTTTACAGGAGGAGGATCTAAGACTACATCAACAGGTAGCAACACATCAGATGGAAGTTCTAACAAAATGACCTTTTCTCTCCTCCTCTTCCTTCTGTTCGTTGCGTCATATGCTTCAAACTTCACCGGCTTATGAGTTATCTTCATCTGTGAATTCTTCTGATCAATCATCATGTACTTGCATGTGTTCTTCGGGTGTGGAAGTAGTCTTCTGGTTGAATGGTGGTGTATTTATCTATTGTTTGGTTGTTTGGGAGACTACATTTGGATACGGGTTTCATTACTTGTGTTATATATTTGATTCTTGTACTATTTCCTTCGAATAAGGATGCTTCATCCATTAATTCATGGGGCCTATGCAAAAAGATTTGAGATATACCAGTTTGAATTACGAAATGTTAATGCACTGAAAACCACCCATTCCAGCTCCACAAGTGATGTATGTATTCAGCAAGTCACACAGAAGAGAAACCAACAATACACAGGAATTTTTAAATAAAAGAATCACTTTCTACAATTATTTAGTAGACAACTAATTCACATTTATGAAAAAGAAAACTGCAAATAACATATGAGATGTGATCTTTAGGAACCATTTGCAATAAAGTAATTCCAATAGCATCACTGAGGCATAAAAGAGGAACTCTATATAATCTTTTATTTATTTATTTATTTATTTTACCTTTTTGAAATGAGCAGAAAAGTAAAGATTCAGTGGCTCAAAGCCTAATATGATTTTCCACCAAAAATAACCTAATATGATTGCAAGTTTCTACATGGTACATTTATTATAGTGGCATATGGCTTCCCACAGAGCACACCCCACAACACATCCGAACGGTGTATTGGGAGCATCTCCCTATGATAGGTATGGGAGATACCCAATGCACGCTGAGATGTGCATGTCGGGGCGCTAGTGGGGTGCCAATTTGAATTCCAGTTGTGTATATGGCAAAGGTTGGAAGTTTCATCGAGATCAAATCAGCCCCCTACAACGTCCCACAGCACATCCCCGCCCTGTATTGAGAACATCTCCCGATGATAACATTATCATTTTTATGATTATCATCGGAAGATATTCCCAATACACTGCGGAGATGTGCAGTGGGACGTTGTGGAGGGCTGATTTGAACTCAGTTCCATCCACCTCCCCGTAGCGTACCAGGTAGGGAGTTGGGAACTACATTCATGGAAATTGGGTCATTTGGGTGCATTAATCAACGCCGTCTCAATTCTCAATTTACTAAGAACTCAATAAGACACCCTAATATAACGATGATTTATTACAATAAACACCCAAAACCATGAAACGATTATAAATTAATATAAATAATTAGTAAATGATACATTAAATTGTCCAACTGTAACCCAAAAATTTAGGACAACTTAATATCAATATGCTAGTTAATAGCTATATACCCTTTTACAAATTACTAATATATATTAAACCATTAAAATGTTATTCTTTATTTTAGATTAAATTATTGATTAGTATTTTCAAAAATAATTATTGATTAGTAATTACAAAATATTATGTTATCCTAATTTAAAAATATATCAGATACATTAGAGTTGTAGAAGATTCATTAATGATAAATCTGAGAAAAAATTTATGCAAGTGCAACTAATAAATTTTAATTACTAAAAATGTTTTATGTATATTGTTTTATTTTAATTTCTATAAATTCCAAGCATTAAAATTTTTTTATATAAATGGTCAATGGATACATGGAGTCCGTCATACATCATATGGTTCTTTTCCTACCATCAAATCAGTGTAAACAGAAGCAAAAATAAATTATTTTTTATATTTTTCCCCTAGTTTTTTAAGAAAATTCATAGATCTACTTATTCAGATTGTGTTTGGTGCCAAACTTTTTTTTTTTATTTTGATCAAAAGCTAATTGGTGAGTGTGTTCTCACATCATATACGGCAATGTGTTTGTTACCAATTTGTATTGAATCATCCAAAACGTTGCCATAGAAATAGCAACTGTACTAAATACAACCTCAAGCAAAAGCATCATAGCTTCAACAAGAGATTACCATATCTTCATCATCATCATCATCTAAGCCTTATCCCAATTCCCAGCAATATGAGGTAAGATACATGAATCCTGTTTTGCCATTTTGTTCTGTTTAATGCCATGTCCATTATTAAATTATGGGCACTTGAACCATGTCTTATACTTTGACCCATGTCCATTATGGTCAAATCCCATCTCTTCTTTCTCCTTCAAAAAAAGATTAGCATATGTTTACAAAAGAAAAAAAAAAACAAAAAAAAAGACAAAAGATTAACATATCAATGCATTTCAAGCAACTAAACTTGTAAATCTATTGAAAACTGAAAGATTAAATGGATAAATGCAAAAAATAATAATAATAAAAAAAGCATACCTTTTCCTTCTATGGTGAAGGTCTAGTGCTCAATTCCAATAGCTTTTTCTCAAAAGAATGACAGATTGATCATTTTCTTCTAAGTCTCAGTTTAGAAGGAGTAAAAAGACAAATATGTAGAGCGCAAAACCTTATATTTTGTATTATTTTATATGTATTTCCAAGGTTCAAAGTATTGACACAGGCTGATACCAGCGTATCGGCCTATATCGGTACTTTTTTTTAGGTTTTATTTTTTTTTTTTCGAACCAATTCAGAGGGATCGATTTAAGGCCCGGTTACCCTCTGAACCAATGTCTAACCTGATACAACCCCTAGAAGGGCGTATCGAGAAGCCATTGGCACGATACAGAAGAAGAAAGAAGAGGAAGAAGAAGGAAAAGGAAAGAGAAAGATAGAGATCAGAGGTGGGTAGATTTATTCGGTGGTTTGAAAGAAGAAGAAGATGAACAGTATTTCTACCCTTTTTTTATATTTTTTAAAGAGGAAGAAGAAGAAAGAAGAAAGAGAAAGATAGACCAAGGGTTTTAATCAATGCATGGACAAAGAATGCCAACCAACAAACTTGCATATGAAAAATAGAAAACAGTGGGGGCACTTAGAGAGAGAGGACTTTAAAAAGACTACCAAACCTCAAAAAACTATATATAATATAAAGCAAAGTATTACTTAATTGACAAGTTATAATAGCTTTTCTTTTCTGGTCAATTGTGGTTAGCTACAATAATGAAGATGCCTATATAAATATATTCTAACTTCCTACTTCGAAGTTTGAATATCTTATTAAGTTGTTCACCAAAAAAAACCGTTAAACAGAAGAAGTTGGCCATCTGCGTACCCATCACATTTGTCTCATCTTTAGCATCTTGCCTTAATGCCTTTTATAAGACAAAGCCACTCTCTTTCTCCTTCAATCCCAAAATTCCTATCAAATTAAAGCTCTCTCTCCACAATTCATTTATTAGATAAATGGCATCCAAAGGGATAGAGATAGAGATAGGTCTAGTAGTAGTACTTGTCGTGGCCATGCTATCTGCAGGAGTTTCTGCACAATCAAGTTGCCTAAGTGTACTGGTTAGCATGTCTCCATGCCTTAACTACATTACAGGCAAAACATCGTTACCATCTTCTACATGCTGCTCCCAGCTTGCATTGCTCGGCAGATCACAGCCACGATGTCTATGCAAGATTCTCAATAGTGGTGGATCGCCATCTGGGCCCAATGTTAACCAGACTCAAGCTTTGACACTCCCCAGTGCTTGCAACGTCCCAACTCCACCTTTTAGCGGGTGTAATGGTAAGAATTAAGGGAGAATTCTTTTTTCGGATTTTGAGAGGGAGAAAGTTGGTCAATGGGATTTTGGTTCTTATTGATTACAAACCCCATGTTCTTTTTTCAGATTTATGTGGGGAACATAGAAAATTTATTTTCCTAGGTATCATTTACACCATCTTCTAGGTGGATAAATTAACTTTCCTATTTAAAGGAAAGTTGCCGATACATGGATGGAATAGAAATGCCCTTTTAATAATAGAATTTTATGACTAAAATTGTCATTATCTTATTTACATGAAAAATAAAAGAACATAGATACATACACTTACCCATATAAGTCTTTTCTGAGAAACACTTCCCCAGTTAAATGCATTACCTAAGTGACTTACCAAAAAGCAAACAGGGCATAAGAAGCCCCTGCTCTGCTCCCCATGTATATCAAAATTCTCCCAAATCAATAGCTAGCTTCCTCCTAGTCCTAGTCCTTAGGTGGACATTGATTATTTACCAATATTTAGCTCTTTGAATGAAAATTTTGTGACATTCTCTCAATCTCATCGGCTATTTTGCAGTTGCTACCCCAACAGACACTCCAGTTGGCACTACACCATCGATTCCAAGCATTTCTGCAGGTCTTTCTTTAAAGTTTAAACCAGTTGCTTCTATTTCACTTCCAAAAAAATTGTTGTCACTTTGTTACAAGTTTTTTCAATATAGTAATTAATGCTAGGCTAGCATGTTGCAGGAGGATTCCAGACCATCCCATCAATAGGTGGAAGTACATCGGATGCAAGTTCCACCAAGTTGACACTTTCTATGGTCTCCTTCTTCGTTGCATCATATCTTTCTACCTTCACCAGCCTTTGAACTAGCATGTATCTAAGAATCTTACCATATCCCTTTTTTTCTCATTCAGTTGAGGGGACCCATCCGTTTTAGCTGATGAGTTAAAAGATTTTGTTCTCTTTCCTTTCAATAAAGATGATTCGTTATTCAATCTTCGATGCATGGTGAGCTAGCTGGATGTGACCTTGAGAACGCCTAAGATTCAAAGAGACACAAAGGCAAAGCCAATTAGTATTTGTAAGCAACACATAAAATAGTAACATATTGAAATTATAAATAAGAATTAATGCAGAACCATTTAAAGTGTTTGTTAAAGATTGACCATATTGTATTGTAATCAATGTGTTAAAACGCAGAGGCATGATGTAAGATGTTCCATTGCCTAGAAGTGTGAAGCGTAGTTCAAAATATAAGAGGCGTAAGCCTCCTTAAGCGGAGGATGAAGAGGAAAGGGGATCTCATCTTTTTTTTTTATTTTTAATAAAAATATTTTATATTAAAAAGGATAAAGATGCATAACATTAATTGAAAGGGGGGGTCTTGTCAAAGTGGAAGGCCTCATTTCCATGTTGCGACCTTCTACTTTGATTTTGAATAAAATAAAACACAAGCTATTGTAGGGTACAAAGTCCAAATAAGAAGTTCCAACAATTATTACAAGATACAAAGTCCCTTTTTTTTGGTAAAATAGAATACAAATAAGAAGTTACTCCCCCAATGACTGGACACCGAGGCGAGTATAGCTGCCAAACCTATCATGTGGGAACCAATTTGCAAGGAGGTGAAGGAAAACCTTTCACTCATGGCAATTTGGTTGGGCTGAGTGTAGCTGGACCTTTCTAAGTCAGTGGGAACAACCTTGGTGGATGGACGAGATCAGATTTAGTCCTCGCAAGTAGGGGTGCCAATTGGACTGGATTTGGTCCAATCCGATCCAGTCCAATGTGAGTTCATTATAAATGGACCAGGTCCAATCCAATTCAATGAATGTTTTTGACCAAATTAGACTGGTCCAATTCAATGTCTGGACTGTCTAATCTATTCAAATTCATTTTGATTTATATTAGTTTCAACCTAAACCTGGTCCATTGACACATATTCTTATCTTATATCAATGGACCAAATATTGGCTTAATCCAATATAAATTTATTACGGACGGACCAAATCCAATCCAATATAATAAATATTTTGGACTGAATTGATCCATCCAATCCATCCAAATTGATTTTGGACTGGATGGGGATTCAATTCAAAACCGATCCATTGACACCCTTACTCACAAGATCGTACTTACACCATACTCACAACCTCTTACAACCGTATATTAAGAATATATACTTTTTATTCGTAAGAAAATATTCCCAATATATATAGCTACAAGTGGGTATAAGGATGGTGTAAGCACGGTCATCCTGGACTGATTCTGAGTTTCATAAATATTAAAACACCCCTTCACCTTTATAAAAGGACATTGACCTCAATTGTTGATTACATGGATGGACAAAAACCACCCTTTCACCTCATTCCACCATTATTACTTGTTGTCGTTGTATACTATTACTTTTATCAAAGTTCTATTGAAATTTCATTACTACTGACTGCCTTGAGAAAGAAGCAAGCTCTACGCCTACCTTCTCGAGTCAAAAGAAACTGGTAGTGTTTTGTACGCACATTATCTTCTTTTTAGCTTGGCAGATTAATCACCAAATATCCATTGCCGATTAGATTAGTCCTGTTAGTCATCGTATATGTATCTTCCAATCACTTTCCATCCTTTGAAATTTTGTCAAAGTAGACATCAAACTTTTGTTTACATGTTAACCTTTCATTGGGTCCAAACTTTACGCGTGGCAATATTTAGAGGATGAGCTTCAATATCCGATCCATGATGTTGATCTATCAACAAAACCATTAATTTGGCCAGGCCAAGTGACTTACCCACAAGTAGCGATTTTTGGTTTTACTTTCAAACATCTAGAATCCCACAAGTAGGGGCACAACTGTCTACCTCCCCTAAGTTAGTGGCAAAATCATTGAATAGGGGAATGGGRATGTTTAAGGATTAGAATAAAACTCAGGGGAGGTTTTCATATTTATTAAAATCCCTTGGGGGAGGTTTATGGATTTTCTCTTATAATATGGAACACCAGTCTAATATGTAGTTCATCTCTCTCTCTTTTCCTGTTGTCAAAATTATAAAAGTAGCTTTACCAGCTCAATAGTAGCTTTCTAAAACCAAGACATTTTTCTTTTATTCTTAAGGATTTGTAAATCAACTTGTTCAATAAATTTAGGCAAAATGTACTATGCATCTGCTACACCGTGTCAAAAAACGGACATGATTGATTGAATATGATAGTAATTACACCATGTTAAATATAAAATTATATTTTGTGAATATAAACCAATTAAAAGCATACTTTAATGTAATTGGTTGAAATTTGAATTTAACTTGCAGTCAATATTATATGCACACTATAATTGAATTCATAAATTCATTATTATCAACCAAATTTCTTCTCCAAAATTAGATCACTTTTAAAATGCAGAAGTGGTCTGTTTTTAACACAACTGTGTTTTTTTCTTTAGACAAAACAAAGGAGAGTGAGACAAGAAAAGAAATTTTAAGACAAAAACAAGGGCATCCAATTATGAAATACTAACACCTACCCTTGAGGTTTCCTATTGGCATACTCACCCTTTATAGTTTGGGGCTGAATTACTTGTCCCCTCTGAGTCCCTCCATTAACATCAATTTTATTTAGTGGGGAAAAGTGTTCACATGACATTGAAACTTTTCAAAAGGCCATTCTGCCCATTTGTGACAACTTCTAGTTCTTATATGAACAAATACAAATATGTAGTGTAAAATCTTGTATTTTATATTATTTTTTATGTATTTGTATTTGTACTCTTTTTTAACTGAGCCTAAGAAACAGTTATTCTTATTTTTTTTTTTTGCCATAATGTCATAGTGGAAATGAATAAATTAAAAATCCATTCAAGAAAACTAAAATGAAATGAAATGAAAACGTGATCGAGATGGTTAAATTTGTATTTTTTATCTATGGATGAGGCTATTTTCATCAATTTGATTAAAATATACATTTTAGAATAGAGTAATATTTTATTATCAAGGGTATCTTGGTATAAGTACTTACTTCTGTCTTTAATTCCATCTCTTTGGGGAACAATCCTTCCAGTAGTTTCGTGATTAAGGGAGCATGGGTTAATAGGTAATCCTAAGGGGAGGTCTTAATATTTGACGGAAACCCTAGAAAAGTATAAGTAATTTACACTTCTTTTTAATATTGATTGGCAAAAGCAGTTTCCTGATAAACAGTATATGTGACATGACTCTCATACAGAAAAAATAGATAAAAAGAAGCATGTATTAAATAGGTAAACCTATGCTGCATTGTTGTTATAAAAACATGATATGGGAAGGGCTTTGACCAATCAATACCTCTAATCTTTTTAGAATGCTCTAAAGGTTAATCCATTCAATGTCCTCAATGAATTTTGATAAATACCACATGATTGATTAATACTTTGAAACTAGTTCATTGTTTGTAAGTTTTTTATGATATCATAGCCAAACCCAATAGACCTCGGCATAAAAAAAAGGTCAATAAACCTCACGTGCATCCCTTTAGATGATGATAATAATAATAATAGATGGCTTAAATTGGAAGCAARACATATTTTACATGTGAAGGTTTTATTTATTTATTTTTGTGGCTATGCATTTCCCACGCCAGATGATGGGTTGGATTTTGGTGGATTAAGGTCTATATATCCATGTTCTCACTAAACCAACTGCAACGCCAGATGATGGGTTGGATTTCATTCCAGTACTGTACTAGCTGTTACCCACCTCTATCAGTGAAGTCTGTGAAAAAGACGCACCACAGGACGTAACGAGACTTATGCCTTTTATGGGTTCCATGTTTTTCTTTTCCTTTTGTAGTTTTTACCTGAAACTCCTCACTTTTGTTGGGATTCTCTTAAACTTAACCTGACTTTTAGATACCTCCATGGAGTCACAAACCTTTCCTAACACATTTTATGTTGAAAGTGAACGTGATCGGATCGGCTGCCCACAAAGCGTGCCCCACAGCCCATCCCCTCTGTGCACTGGGAACATCTCCCGTGCTTATGATGGGGAGATATTCCCAATCAACAGAGGGGATAGGCGATGGGGTGCCTGTGGGGCGGCAGCCGATCCCGTCTCAAGATAAGCAGCGTCCGTAAAATTACCATAACTCTCATCAGTCGATCTTTATCCTTTAAACCCAAACACCGTAGTCATTACTTGTTTTAAGGGCCAACACCAAAGCTTAAAACTTATTTTGTCTAAGAAACAAGTGGTATTCTGAAGAATTCCGATTTAGATTCCAGTTCTAAATTCACTTGCAAATCAAACTGAACTTAAAATTGGTGTTGCTGCCAAATATGAGGCCAAGGGTAACAAAGTGATTTCACTAGTATCTGAAATTGATAGGTCCGATTAGTAAATAGGAGAAGAGCTCATGATAGAGGCCCCGGGTGTTATCTTAGAGGCGGAGACTTTGACGGTCAAGTTAGCTAAGTAATTAAAGACGGATCGGATTAGGCAAGAAACGAGAACTTAAAACTTAGTCCTTAATAACCAACAATGGTTCTTTTTCTTTTTACCTTGAGGTGAGTGCCCCTTTTATAGCTAACCTTGCCTTAAGAGTGGTTGGAAGCAGTTGATGATGTGCTGACAGGATTTTATCTAGCTAGCGCCATATAATGCGATCTTAGGCCCATCAAGTATCCCTACATCAATTGGTATTCTTTACTTTGGGGATAGTGACAATGAAGCTAGGTTCTAAACTTTCAAATGTAACAATTTAGTACTCTAAACTTGGGGAAATATACACTCAAATCCAACCGTTAGCATATCGTATATTATCCTGAACACCTAATGTCATGTTCACCTTAAAACAATTCAAAAACCCATAAAGTACTCTTCTTCAACATCTCGTCTTAGAAAATGGTTCGTTCAGCTCTCTCTCTCTCTCTCTCCTTCATCTTCTCTTAAGAAACTTGGTCCACTAACCATGTCGAACATGGTGGCAATGCCTGTTCTATTTCTAGCACTTCTATCTTGCTCTTTTTTTTTC